TCCAGGACTGCCAGGGAGTTCTTACTCAAGCCCCTTCCCCCAGCAGGCTGTTGATCAAAGGTGGTACAGCTTAGTGCTGAGACCCTCTGGCACACCCATGGGCAAGGGGCAAGGCTCTCAAGGACTCAGTAACGTGATAAGATGCCCTGCATGCTCAGATGCCCCACATGCTTTCAAATATACCGAGGGATGGAGATATCCAAAGCAATACTGGCAGTGGTTTCCTTAAAATAGATCTGAGGATTCATTCATTTGTAGCTCTGCAAGGAGGCTCTCAGACAGCCCCAAATCACCCCCACCACACGTCCTGGGCAACTACACCCCCACATCAAAATGAACGTAACAGTCTAGACCTGCACTGACACTGGTACCAGCAGCCAAGATGAGAATGGAGAGGGTGTTAAGCAGAGTGTGACATAATCTGCTGCAATTACAAAAATGGAATAAAAGAAGCAAGATTGGAGTTGAAAACGACTAGTTAGAAGACTTCTGTAATAACCCACAAAGACTATTGTGACCTTAACTAGGGCAGTGGAAATAGGGATGGAAAGAAGGCAATGACTGTGAGAAAGCTCTGGGAGGAAGACTCAACAGGATTTGGCAAGTAATTGGTATGGCTAGAGGACAGAATCAAGGATGATTCTCAGGTTTCCGACAGAGCCACTGAGTAGATGGTGCCAGTCGTTATCTGAGGGAATGTCGGAGGTCTGGGGTTGAGAGAAAGATAACCCTTGAGCGTTAAGGGGCCTATGGACACCGAGGTGTGCACAGAGAACAGGGAGCTGGATATGAAGGCTTGGAGTTCAGATGGCAGGTGGAGCAGTGTCTTTTCTCCAGTGGGACCTCTGCTGTCATGTCGGTTTCCATTTCCCAGTTGCAGAAAAAGATTAGAAGACATCAGCACACAGAGGACAGTTGAAGCTATGGCAAAAGATGAGATCACTCTGGTGAGGGCGAGTGTGCAGAATAAAAAGAAAAGACAGCTAGGACAGAGGCCAAAGAAGTACCAATATTTGACAAACACAAAATTTAACAAAAAAAGAAAGAATCATCTCTAAGACACTGTGAAGGGAAAGCTAGAGGAAAAGGAGACCTAGAAAAGTAAAGATAAACAGCATTTCAAGAAGGATACTTGGTCAACTCTACTGAATGATGCCAAGAAGTCCCAGCCTTTCATCTATATCCTACACTGCCCATCCCCCTTGCACACAGGATAGTCACCACCCCACAGCTGTGTCCCAGTGTGTGGTGACATCTCAATGGGACTTCACTCCAAGTGACTAGAGCTCAATAGTCTAGGCCACTTGACTACAGTCCTCAGGACACCCTCAGCAGTCCCCACTGAGTGCATGTTCCCCAAATAAAACTGGGTAATCTAAGCAAGTATCTTTTGACCTCCAGACTTCCTAAAACCTAAAATGTTCCAGGTCCCCATCTGCACAGCACCAACAGAGCGGTGCAGTATGCACACTTCATGAGGAAGGCAGCCCAGCATTTACATATTCAATCTCCAATGGAAGGAAACCACCATTCAGAGCTGAGGCTGAGCTAGGAGAGGGTCCTCACAACAAACCCTGAGTAGGCCTAGACCCTGCCTCATCAGAGCAGAGTCTGATTGTCCTCATCTTCTCCAGGGGTCCTCTTCCCAGACTGCACTGAGGGCCAGGCCTTCCTTCACATCAGCTCTTCCCTACCCCCCTCCACATTCACTCCTACCCCTATCTTTCTGTCTTGCCAATCTGGCCCTCTTCTCAGACCCACAGGCCACTGGAAAAGACCCTGATCTAGCTCCTCTGCCACTCTGTGCTGTTCAGTTGGTGAACCCACATCTTCAAGCCACAGACTAAAATCTGAGTTCTTCAAGGGTGGCTGGCACCCGTGCAGCTTTCGCTCTGCACTCTGCACCAGTCCTACTCTTTCGCCGTACCAGAGATGGAACCCCTTTACAGAAACATTCCTGCCTGGGTGAAAGGAGAGAAAACGGGTGAGAGAACACTAAACTCCATGAGGAGCTTCAAGAAATACCAGGGAAGTCAAAGCAAAGGCAGGTCAGGTAGGCAAGGCAAGCTGACCAAGAGCCAATTCCAGAACAAGTGTTGTAGCTTAAACACATTTAAAAAGAAAATTAAATCCTCACTTACTAAATGAAAACCCATCTAAGCAGGGTCTGTGACTGCGGCATCAAAGCCCACATAAACCTGGAGTAGCAACACAACCAGTTTTCACAAAAGATGGACACAAAACGATTTTGTCAGGGTGGGAGCAGATTTCTTTTCTCCAGTAGGATTTCTGCTGCTACTTCAGTTCCCATTTCTCAGCGCTTCACTCATCAGGCAATTTCCAATGAAAGTGACGGAAGCTGGCTGGGAGAGAGAGGAAGGACAGCAACAAGGAGCCGCGTCTCTGGGAGACCAGAGCGGGCAAGGAAAATATTTGCTGAATTCCTTAGACTTAGCTAAATCAGAAAGTGGATGTCAAAATAAAAAGTGAGGCGCACACTAACAAGTTGTGGGTGTCGGTGTGACACCACCCTTGTCAGGCTCGTCGTCAGCCTTTACCGGGCGCACAAAAAGGTGAGGGCTCTGACAAGAGCCTCCCGACGTGCGGCTCCGGAACGCTGATAAGCTGTGCGCTGTCACGCAGCACTACTTAGGTTTCCTCTCTGGCTGTTTTTATTTTGTTACACATTTAATTAAGAGCCTTCCCGGCAGTTATGCAGAATCCTGCTTCTAAAAGGCAGCCACAGAGCTCCCCTCCCCCCAGCCCCTGCCACCTGACATCTGCGTCCTCCTGCACACACTGTCAGAGCTTCAGTGGCTCCCCCAATCCAAACCCAAACCAACACCCACAGTCTGCCCAGCCCCTTGCTTATTTCTGGAACCTCTTTGGTGTTGGAATTCAATTCTGTATAGCTATGTGTCTTTACCAATTTGAGCCTCAGTTTTTAATTTCGCTTTGCCTTTTTCTGCTATAAAACGGATACCACCTCCTACCGGAGAAGACAAGAGGACTGAATGACATATGGGATGTGCTCATTTAAAATCTGGTTTCCTTTCATACATGCTTGAATTCAACAACTCTATCCCTCCTTTTGATTCCACGTTGATTCCATCATTTCTTGCGAAGATATGAAACGGCCTCCTGAATCACCAAAATCTGCCAGGGCCCACCATGCCGACAGCTGAGTTGGTGCTGCAGGCCAGAATGGGCCGGACTCCAAGCTTAGGGGGACCAGCCCCCGAGTCCCGAACCTCATGCCCAGGGAAATTTCCATGTGCACATACAGGCTGGGGCAACAGTAGGTTTACAGCTGTTCGTATGAAAAATAATACAATCACTAGTGAGTAATAATACAAGGATAAACTGTGTTTCATGTACTCACAACTATAAGCCTGCTTTCCCCCCACCCTGTGTGTCTGTACATACATGCCAGTCACAAAAGATTCACAGTTAACACAAAAAGATCCTGAAACTCGAGTGCTTGTGATGTGAACACACCAAAGACAGAAAACCACTAGGAGAGTGGGAGTCCTGGGAGGCTCTCTGGAGAAGCCAGGCCTCAGGGCTAGACCACACGAGCCCCTGGGTTTCAACCTGTATGCTGCCCCACCCTGAACAGCTTCTCCTATTCAACAGAGCTCCACCTAAGTCCTTTCTCTGTCTCCAGTGCTCCAAGCTGCCCAGGAAATCATGAACAATAACAGCCTCCCTCCTCCTCACTTCCTCCTTGGGACCCTCCTCTGATTCATATCAGCCCAGCCTATATAATCTCCCTGACAAAGGAGTGTCATCTGAGAGCACAGAAATCCTCTGGAGCTCTAGGAGCTGCGTGTGCAGACCTGGAGGTGTGCAGTAAGTGTGTGCACACAACCTAAGGGATATGGGAGATGAGGTGTATGGGTGTTTATGTGACCTGGGCTTGTTCTTCCTCCTATCTTACCTAGAGAGTCGGTGTCCAGTTGCAGGCCTGACACCCATCCTGCTGGGTGTGTAATGATGCTTCAATGCCCAGCATCCAAAAGGCATGAAAAAGACCTTGATGAGAAGATAATGCCTGACCAGATAGGCAATATTACTCTAGAACTGCTACTTCCAACTCCCCACCGACACCCCATCCCATGCTCAAAAGTATAGGTGTGCATGCGCGTACACACACACACACCGAGTGCTTGCTGCCGCCTTCAGTCACAAAGAACACAGGGTTATCGATTCCATCAATACTCAGCAAACAATGCCCCTACCACCTCCACCTCACTTTAGTTCCCTGGGGGCTGTCTGAAGCCAGGTATCCATAAGATAGACAAGAGGCAAAAGTGTCAGCCTAGCAGAGTTTTGTCTTCCAGGATCAGGAGACAAAGGAGAGAAAGCACTGGGGACAAAGCAGAAGAGAGGAGGCTGGTGACTTAGGCAACTTCCTGGAAGCAGCCCTGTCTCATCCCACCACTGGGCTCTTGGTTGCATCATCAGGGCCTTGTACCCCAGATAAGAGGACAGCACAGTGTAATGGTTAAGAGAAAGGACCCTGGAGTCAGGTTGCCTGGGTTTCAATCCTGGCTTCATATGTTCTTGGGCAAGTTACTTAACCTCTTTGTACCCTAATCTTCTCACCTATAAAAGCAGAAATAATAAGAGTACCTATGGTTATAAAATGCACTTAGACTAATAAACACTATACATCTGGTTCAACAGTAAAGACCTCTTTTAACTCTTTCCTTCCAGGGCACTGACACGTAGCCCTGCAACTGAAGGGCTCTTCCGAGCAGTGAGACCTGGCAGTGGCAGGAAGGCCCCGATGACAGCGGTCCCAATAGATCTCTCCCTCCCTGCTCCACAGGCAGAAAGCAGGGCTCCCAGCCCTCTCCTTATCCTGGCAGTCCCCCAAATCGAGGGACTCCCTGACCTAGCTGCCCTGTAAGCTTAGGCATTTAAGTCTGTGAAAGGCAAGAACTGGTCCCGCAGATTCCAAGCCCAGCTAGTGAAGCAGTCCTTCTCATACTCACATGACTTTCAAGTCCCAGTCTCCGCAGGTGACAAAAATTGACTTGACGTTTGGATCTAAGAGGCCTTCCTTCGCCATCCACTCATCGACCCTCTGAAAAGTACACAACAAGAACAGATGATATTTCCCTTTTTTTCTCCGAGTCTATGAAGAGCCACAACAGTGAAACGCAGATAAGCTGCTTGTAATCAGAGCAGGAGAAAATTGTAATCTCATCCAGCCATGGCTCTGCTCTGGGCTCTTACCTTTGGCTCAGAACTATGAAGGCACTTGCAGGACAATCCCTGCAAGAAGAGCCCACAAGCCCAAGTGTTGCAGGGGAGGGGGCCCCTCCACACTCTGTTCCTGGCAGCCTGCCCCAGACAGGATAAGGACAGATCCCAGTAAATCAGTCCAAATAGCTCTGGTCCTCAAAGGCACAGCCTAGCACAGACATAGGCTATGCTGGGCTTGAGAACAGGCTGGTACCCAAGCAGGGACTCCAACCCATAGGTTCATTCATTCACTTATTCATTTTACCCTCCCACCAAATGTTTATTAACCAAACTTAAGAATTTGGTTACTACCCGAATGAAAGTGAAATTAATTTCCACCATGAGTCTAGCAGAAGAATCCCTTTGCTGGGCAGAAGCAAAGCTCATAATTAGCCCCAGACTTTACATTTCTCCTTTCTAAGTTGAGGATTAAAATTCAACAGATTCTTTTGAAGGCTGAGCTCAAATACTAGGTAGGGAGAGAAACTGCTCCTAAACACACTGTGAGTCTATTTCTCCCTTCATTCCTTTGATAGGTTTTATTATTTGCACTCACCTGGAAGTACAAATACTAAAATCAGTATATAATGACAGAATTATCATAAAGAATTCATGAAGCATCGCCTACTTTTTAGACGATCCCGGGCACGGGGCAGGAGTACAGCAGATCACACCACTGCCCCGCTCACACAGGAGGATTGTTTTTAAAGGCTGTATGACACAGTAGTTAGAAACGCAGGACTGAAAATCAGACACATCTGGGTTTGGACCTTGGCTCTTCAATATCCTGGTTGTGTCACTGATGGGAAGTCATTTAAGTCCTCTGAACTTCGGCTTCCTTCATCTATGAAATGAGGTAGGATGACTAACTTTGCACATCGTTTTGAGAATTAAAGGTAAATGTAATCAAGTATTTAAGCTCCTGCCACGGAACAGACAGTAGGCTGAGAAGGGGAGAGAAGCAGATCTCATAATACAATAATAATAGATGCAGCAATAACGCAGTAAGCAGAATGCTACAGGACCAAAAGGAGGAAGTGGCTAGCTCTGCTATTTTCAGGGAAAGGAGTCAGAAAGGCTTCATAAAGAAGGTGATTGAATTAGGGGCGTGGTGGTTTGCTAGACAGGGCAGAACAGAGAGGGAAGGAGATCACAGGCAGAGGCACAGGCCCAACCGTTTGTCCCTGAGAAGCAGTTATATGTTTAATGTCTGCCTTCCCCACCAGACTGTAAGCACAGTGAAGGCAGGGACTCTTATCTGTCTTATTCACCATGTTGCTCTCTAACCCAGCATAGGGCCTTCTCAGCAGTTATTCTTGGACCGACTGAAATATGGGTAAGGCATAATGTGACCACACTCCACTGTGTACAGAAAGGAGGAACAGGAATTGAAGCTGGACACTACATTAGGCCAGACTGTGAAGGGCCTTGCGTGCCCAGCAGGTAATGGAGAGTCCATGGAAATCTTGAAGTGAGATTACTTCTGGCAGGTGTAGGTTGGCTCCCTGTACATCTCAGAGATCCTGAAGTATGGCCTGTGTTGAAGCAGTCCTTGAGTAGGGCCAAGGATCCTATCTAGTTCCATGGCTACAGCAGTCCGATCTCCCAGAACATCAGAGACATTAGAGCTATGCTCCAGGACCAGATTATGTAGCCCCTCCTCATAATCAGTATACCAGAGAATCCTCTTCAGACCAAGGATCCCCCCACAGCTAAATTCTAGACCCTTCAGTGCTGAATGGTTTATCTCCCCAGCCACTTTGGCCCAACCTTTTGCATAGACAGATAGAAACACACACATATACACAGCCTTTCCCCCAAGTCACATAAAGAAAATAGGGTAGGCCCTGGCTGGTATGGCTCAGTCAGTTGGGCATCATCCTGCAAAGCAAAAGGTGGCCAGTTCAATTCTGGTCAGGGCACATGCCTGGGTTGCGGGTTTGGTCCCTGGCAGGGACAGAAGGCAACTGAGCAATGTTTCTCTGTCATATCAATGTTTCTCTCCCTCTCTTTCTTGTCCCCATCCTCCTCTCTAAAAAGAAGTAAATAAAATCTTTAAAAAAATAAATAAAAGAAGGTAGATTTTACACAAAAAGAGGTAAGGCAAACCTGGAGCTCCCTAAGCCACCTACTGGCCTTAAATCCCCAAGTAAGTGTTCCACATGCAAAGGGGACAGACTGGCTCCCCATTGCCCCAACTCCTGCACAGTAGTCCTGGGAAAGACGGCAGGATAGGACAGAAAACTGTTGGGAACTAATGCCCAGCAAGAGCAAGCTTTCACCATGAGAAGCACTTAATATTCACTGGGGTCCTTAATATTCCTTGGGGCCTAGGCCATTCACTCATGCAGCAGATATTTAGTGAGCACTTTCTACTACAAGCCTGTAAGGGAGGTGATACATTAGGAATCGGGCCTGCCCTTTTCCTTCCCTCTCTGTTTGAATGGACAAAGGGCTGGAGGAACCGCTAAGATAACTTCAGTCTTCCGAGTCAGCCCCAACCCTCTCAATCCTTCCCCCCACCCCACTCCCACTGCTGAAGGTCTACAGGAGCCCAGCCTGAGCCTACTTAGAACAAATGAGTCAGGTGGATAGATGGACGGGTGGATTATGGATGGATAAACAGATGAGTAGATGGGGGCGGGGATGAATGTGTGGATGGCTATGTGAATGGATGGATGAATAGGTTTTCAAGAGCCTAGAAAGTCTATCCATTGACCCTGTTTAGGGACGAGGGAATGACCACCATTCACTTCTACATCTTGCCTCTCCTTGCTGGCTCTAATGGCTTCAAGCTGGGCAAGGGAGGTGGGAGGGGATGGTCAGGCCAAATGAGCCATATGAAAGAGAAAAAAAATTTTTTTAAAAGAACAAATGAGTCAGGCACACACCTGGTTAGCCACCCGACCAGGATCTTGGTTAGGACAAAAAGTTAGCTCTTTAGCTCTATAATCAACTAATAAAGCAGAGCCTGGTTGGGTCTCCGTATCTTGCCAGACTGCCTATGAAAGGTCAATGCCAGAAATCTTCCCACTTCCCCACAAAGTACGCTGGAGCAGCAGAAAGAGCTTCCTGGGTGAGACTCAGAATCCTCTGAGCACTCCTTTCCAGGGCTGGCCTGGGGTCAGCAGGAGGATAGCTCTTGAAGACCACATCTCCCCCTCAACTGGCACCGCTGAGGGAAAAACATCATAACCCCACCAGCCCAGGTTTTGTACTAGTGCGGAAGGAGCACCTTCCTCCCAGGATCCCTGAGACATCCCAGTGACAAGCTGCCTGTCTTACAGCTTTCCTCAGGAGCCAGGCCCTATCCGGGAGTGCTAGCTGTGACATAGGGACAGGTCCCTTCTTTCTCCTTGGGTATGGCCCTTTGAGGAACAGTTCATGCTAGGGAGGCCTCTCAGTCATAAGAGTGAATCTTCTGTCAAAAAAAGAGGGTCAGTGAGGTTGGGAGACATCTCTGAGCTCATCTTGTCTTCTCCCAGCTTACTGCAGGCACCTAACCCTGCCCCAGCCCAGAGCCTGCCTGGATGCAGGGCCTAGGCTCCCACGCTCTCAGGGACAGGAGGAAGCAACCATACCACAGGGGGAGCCACCACCATCTCTCCACCCTGACCCCGGCTCCATCCTGAGGAGCCCCAGGAAAGTCCATCTGCATTCCTATGGGACAGGCTGACTTGGCTGAATAAACAGCTCTTCCTCCCTCTCCCGGCAACCACCCTCCTCCCCCTTGGCTAACTACCTCCAATGCAGATGTGCCCTGCTGTTCCCCAGATGCTCTGCTTTCTCCTGTGCTCTGACAGGGGCTGAGCATTGGGTGTACTGGTCTTAAAGATAAATAAAGCTCCTCAGGAGTTCCACAGGCTTTTCCTCTCTCTCCCACCCCCTAGAGAGGAGTGGTAGGAGGACCTCCCTGAAAACCCCCGGCAAAGGGTGCTGGGAGACAAGCTGAGGCAGTGCCCTGCCCTTCCTCGTTCCCTTAGGCTGGAGCACAAGAAGCTATATCTTAACCTTTTCCAGCTCCCCGAGGAGAACATCCTAGAAGTGTGGTCTCTGCCAAGGGTTCTAAAGCCTTTAATTTGATTTCTCTCACACAGGCAATTGTTGTAATTATTCTGATTAGGAATCATTACCCAGTACAGCCTCTGCACCCGACAGGCACAGTGCGTCCAGAGGCAAGCTGCAGTGGGGCAGGCGGGCCCAGCCGCACCTCCTGGAGGAGCTGACAGCAAACAAAAGCCATCAATAGGGAGTCCTGGGTGAGTTAATGAAGTGCTCACATGCCACAGGAAGCCAACACTAAAGCTAAACAAAAACACCTCCAGTCCCGGGGGCCAGTCCCACAGTGCCACAGCTCAGCTCCCCGACTTCCTGACCTGCCCAGCACAGATGGCCCAGAACCAGCCAGCACAGGACCAGGACGGGGTGGGGGCCCTCCGCCAGCCTCCTGGCAGCACTCGGACATCTTGTCAGTAACCCTGACAGGAACAGCTGGAGATGACAGATCAATGGTTCAATACTCTCAACAGCATGTCACTGATGTGACAGCAAATGTTATTCTAATCAAGCCATAATCATAGTCAAATTACACAGCTACGTTCTCAGGAGGGGAGGGAGAGAAAGGCAGCAGGAAGGGGTCAGAGGTTAGGAATTAAAGGTCACTCAACCTACCTCCAGCACTTGCTGTAGGCTGGGCTGACCATCCACCATGGCTTGAATAATCCCGGTGAGCTGAAAGGAAAGATAAAGAGCAGATGGATGGAAAACTCGAAGTTGGGCTGAATTCTTTCTATTCTGTTTCTCTCCTTTTACTGTACAGAGCTCTGGCCTGCACTGCTTTAGGCTGAGAGCCTGACAGGAGCCTTGGGAATAAAGTCCCAGGACACAGTCTAAACTTCCTAACAACACGTTGCCCTGCAGCGGGGATACGCAGCTACAGGCTGGTCAGGGTGCACCTCATACCTGTTTCAGCTTTCATTTGCAAAAGTAAAAACAAAAACAAGATTTTACATGTCTTTTGTGTTCAACAGGCTCCATAACACCCCACAAATTAAAATCTCAAGGAAATTCACCTTCAAGCTTCACAGAGGCTCCCGTCGGACTTAGGGAATAACCACACAGGACAGGCATGCTCGGCTGCTGGTCCACCCCTTCTCGGGGCCTCAGCCCAGCAGCGCACCCTCTGACGCCAGGGAGGGGCCAGGGGAGTCCCATAGGCATCCACCCTTCACCCTGCATACCTGGGCCCTCAATACCAACTAGCCAAGCGGGAAACAGCACCTTTAACTGATGGGGAAACTCAGGCAAAAAAGCCTAGTGTACAAACCTGCTCAAGAGAATCGCTGACTCACAGGCCTACGCGCCACCCAGGTCAGGCTTAGGTTGAAACAAGCTTGTTGCTTTGATTCGTTTAGAAGTGAAAATATCCCTTAAGCACAGGCTACAGCAGACTGCCTCCAGGATCTGAGGCAGGGGGTCCCGTCCACAGAGCCGGTCTCGGCTGGAATCCACCATGCCCACCGTGCCCGCAACCGCTCCCAGAGAGAGGGGCACTGAAGGCTTGCGTGGGAACTTCTATTTTTTTTAAGTGTTGGGGGGACAGATTAAGCTCCAATTAAACTGCAATTACATTTAATGAATACCAAATACCCAACTCACAGAAACCGCCGGCACTAAGAGGGAAGGTTATTTTCTCATAGTGACTTACATGGAATGGTAATACACACCTTTTAGGGAAGAAATTTTCATTTTAAGAACGCTGAGTTCCTCTAGGTGGGTTTCTGTAGTTCATCAAGTCATTATTAGGTGGTATTTTAAGGAAGTGTAAGGACACAGCCACTCTATTTTATATTCCAGAAACTGTTTTTATATTAATCTGTATTTTAATTGGGTAACAGCTGCTGCCTACAGACTTCCCATGGTCTAAAAGGAAAATAAATTAGAAAGATTAACTACACTGTTGTTTCACAAGGCTTTAACCCACAGCATGCCCACCCGGCTGGCACCTTCACACCCTTTCCTTCCTTGGGAGACCAAAGAACTGCCCAGCAGAGGGAGGGCCTGAGCCAAAGAGAAGAAAGGATGGTCTACTGAGGGCGGGAGAGGGGGTGGTGGGAGATGAGCCCCGGGTCAGCAGCTTTAATCTCAGAGTGCTAAGACTCCTTTTATTTAGCCAACAACTATTCATGGAGAGCCTGCAACGTGCTGGGTCCCATTATAGGACTTGGGAGCCAGCAGTGAAGAAAAACATGAAAACCTTCATTGAATCTGTGCTCCTCTTGGCAGCCCTCTCCTATGCCCAGCCCTGCTAGCACCCAGAGCCTTTACACCTTCCAGAGCCGCACACCGAGCAGGCGGCCGCCCTGTGTTTTGTCTCAGGTATACAGGGCCCACGTACCCACCACTGCCCTTTCTGCCCCAGCTTTTCTCCTGCTTAGTTCTTCCAAAGCCAAGCCATGTCCCCAAGCTTGGAGCTGGGGCTTTGGGTCAGGACCATCCTGGAAAAGAGGGCTTACGTGGCCGACTTACTTCTTGGAAAGCTCCAGGGTCTGTATGCCCGTCTCATATCTGTTCTGACCTCCTGGGGCAAGGGTACGGCCACTTGTTTCCTGGGCTCCCACCAAGGGTTACTCAGATCAGCTGGACACTGACAGGCTTCCAGACACAAAGGAAACCAATGGCACCCTTGCCAAGAACCCCTGCTCCTTGGAGATGGAACTTTGGTCAGCATCTCCGTACACCAGAGGCACCTGCTCTGGGTCCTAGGAAAATCACTGCCTTGGGAGAGAATATCACTCTACCGAAAGGGAAAACCAGGGGTGCTGCTCTGTCGGAGCGCTCACTATGGACTAGGCCTGCCTCTTCCCACACTAGGGTGGGGTTTGGGGTCCCAGAATCATGAGCTTTCTCAAACTCCCCTCCAGTGGCCAGTAATCTTAGAATCATCAGCCCAGGAGGAACCTAGTAAGTTCAGCTCCTTCCCTCTCCATGCTTCCCATACTACTGTGGTCTAGCAAAACAGGGCTTACAGCTGACTTGCTAAAGGACTTGAACTCAACCCCTAGAGACACAGGGGCTTGAACTCTTGGTTCAACTAGAGGCAGCTTTCCAGGGGGAGTCTGCATTCCGCTGTATCATTTCCTTCAAGGATGGACTACTATCTTATCAGCTCTGCCAAGCACTAGATGAAGATGGGGTAAAATTAAGAAAGTTGGTCCCTATACCTGACACTGACAATCAGTAAGACCTACCTGTAAGACTTACACCATGAGCTATGAGGGAGAGAGAAAATTTAATAAAAATAAATACTGGGAAGTTCTACCTTAGGTATAACTTACATCTTTCATGCTACAGTTTAAGCTCATTCACACTTGGGTTAATATATATTTGTAAAAAGCTTTTACATCCTCACAATGAAAGGTACTAAAGCAAAGCCAAGTATTATTAAGCTGAGAACCAGGGCTCACAGGCTAAACAGAGCTCAGAGACCTTAACCACTTAAAGCAGGAGAGGTGAGAGGAAGAATTAATGCGTGCTCTGTGGTTCCTTTCACTGAGGGATTACAGATTAACTCCCGCTTCCCCAGACTCGGAAACGCAAGGCGAGGGGCTTTTGACCCTGACTGATAACACGGCTGGCTACTGAGATCCCCTACCCACACAAGGGCTTTATCCAGGAATGAGCTGGCTTCATCATAAACACTAGCAACTACAGGAAGCAGCCCAGGACACTTGGTGCCAATAGCACATCAGCATCCAGCACTTTCTCCTTTCACAGTTTATCTCCAACACAATCGTATTCTGACACCAAGACAGTTTGTTGATTACATAAGCGCTTGTCTCTGGCGTGCAATCTGATAATCAGACCCACTCCTCCTGCTCAGACAGAGAGACCAATAAATCTCACCCTTTATAAGTACAGGTGCAAGAGAACACCCTTTACTGGCATTTAGCAAAATGGGTCTTTTTCTAGTTTTTTCACGACAATGACGCTGACAAAAAAGACTGCCTGTGGTCAGGAACTGCGTGGCAGTCCAGCTCCTGGAGACAGAGATCTGCTGCGTTGGAGCAGATTCTAAAGGCAGTAAAGAAAGGGTGTGGGAAGGAATGAAACCCCTCCCATCCTATCTCTGTCAGAACCATGTCCCCAGGCCAACTGTCAACTGAAACTAAGAAAGGACTTCAAGAAAGCCAATACCATGTTCATGACACAGAACAAGAAGAGAGTGTCTACATGTGGGCTATAAACTTATCCAAAGCAGAATCCCTCTTTCTGCTGCCAGCACTGAGCTGATCTCTCTCCCCTCCACACAAGCATGTGCTCATGTATACTCCTGTGTCATGTGCACACATGTGCACACACACACACGGCCACGCCAGAGTTCTTAAGAACTTCTTGTGCATGAAAGAAAATTCTACCAGAGGAGCTGCTTAGGCACAGCCAGGAGCTTTGAGGTTGTTCCCCTAGCTGGCGAGGCAGCCGCTGTCGGGTCGCATGAGGTCCGAGAACAGCAGCTCATCCTGTGCCCTGTCTCTCTTTGCACAGCAGCTCCACAGGGTGTGGAGACAGGGCAATGGCTGCATGATCCGAGGTTTTCCGAAGATGACTTTACTTGCTCAAAAGAGCAAATCAGCAGTAGTTACTCTAGCACAGGCCAGAGCAACTGTGGTTGAATAATTCCTTGACAAGATTCATTCATTTAAGGAACACATATTAAGTGTTTGCTTGGTACCAGGCCCTAATGATGGAAAACAGGTGGATCAGATCTAGTTTCTGCCCTCAAGGAACTCACAGTTTAGTGGAGAGACAGATAAACAATTACAGTATAATGTGTACGGTCAATGTTATTTTGGGTGAGCACAGCCCAGCCTTCCCAGGCTTCCCAGAGGAGGTGACCCTGAGCAGAGTCCTAAGGGACAAGTAGGGACTGGGGGAGGAGAGTGCTAGCATCACCCAGGTGAAGGACCATCACGTGCAGAGGCAGACCTTTAGAAGAGGGAAGTGAGGGGAAGATGAAACAGGGAGATACGAGGCTGGACAAAAAGGCAGGGACTGGGTTGGGGGGCATTGGAGCTCTGGGAGGCTCAGCACAGACACACCTTCACTATCATAGCAAGGATTTTCCACCACCACCATGCCTACTGCCACCCAAATTCTGTATGTATGTCCTTGAGTGAAACTTTCTAGAAAAAAGCAACATAGCTTTCATCATAGTCCCACAATCCTTCCTCCCTCCTAAAAAAGGAAACAAGCAGCAGCAACCCTACTCTAAAAAATATCCCTTTTCCCAACACTACTGAGCACCCACTCTGGCCCAAGCCGAGCTCCAGCAGCGTTCTGTCCCATCCCTAAACAGGCAGCAACCTCGACAGATCAGGGCCTTCCTGTCTATGCCCAGCAGCCCAGCTAGAGCTGAGTCCCCCGAGGGGGACTTACACACAGAGAAGAGGAAGAGAAGGACAGAGGACACTCCGCTTTCAGATCACTGGAGGGCTCAGGTAACTGGCTGGTTTAAGGAAAGTTTTCCCTTCCCTTCCCATCAGGAAGGGGATTTCCATCATCTTAAAATGTTACCTTTCCAAAGGGGCAAAAAGGACAGATTAGCACCCCCTGGTGGTATAGGTAATTCCCAGGGAAAGGCTGAAAAAACAGTAGACCCCAAAAGAAGCAAGAACCTCAATGTCGTTAGCTGGAGCAAGGAAAGACTTGAGAGACTGGACACCCTGGCAGACGGATGCCTGCAACAGAAGGCCCACCCGAGCTGGGCAGCAGGCACTGGCATCAAGCCCAGGAATGACCCTCGGGGCCTCATATCCGGGCTAAGGCCGCCGCAGAGCTCGCTGAGCCCTCCGTCCAGTGGCAGGCAGGCCTTTGCTCCACACCAACGAGACTGTTTTGGGATTACTCAAGAACATCTTTCCTTCTGTTTCACTCCTACGGTAAAAAAAAGTAGGTCTATAAATGAAGGCACAAAGTCTCTAACGTACCCCAGCCCCAAATTCTGAAAGAATTCTAGAAACACTCATGTCCTCCCATCACCTCTGTTACCACACATTCTTGACCATTCTTGCGATTTCACCATAGCCTGTGGCCACCACAGAGAGTGTAACATAACACAGCCCAGGGGAGAGAGCCGCAGAAGGTTCTCCATACAGTCGTGAGAGTCAGCACTCTGACGGGGCCTCCTCCCTGCCAATGGCTCATGTGAGCCTCCAGCAAGCATCAAAATCTCCGTTAGTCCCAGCTCCAGTCTGTAAAATGGGGCCAATACTAACCTGCTTACAGGTGGCCAAGCACAGCACCAGACTCGGACAAGGAAAAGGAATTTCAGCCTTGGCCAGGCTGTGCTCATACCCCACTCGGACTGCTCCTCTTTCCTTGGTGATAGAGTGTGCTTCCCACACACTCAGCCAGGGTTTCACATAGGGCTACTTTCCTTGAGGACAGAGAAACATTGCCAGAAAGCTAAGAAAGCTGAACCTCTCCTTCTCAGAAGCTACAACCTTTACCTGTTGCCAAGGGGCCTGAGGGGAAATGAAACTGAAAAGAAGCTAAGCTCCAGAAGTACTGTCCCGCTCCTACACCCCAAATGCCAGGGCCCTGGGAAGGGCAGGGATGCAAGGAAGAGAAAATGTTGGGGAAGCTGGGACAGATTGTGCCACTGCTTTCCCTGGGTCTCCAATGACCAGAAGGACCCAAGTAGAATGGCAGACTTTGTAGAGCCAACTGCGGGGTCCAATACGCACCCACTTTAACCGCTGATAAGAACTAACTTTCACTAATGGGCCTGTATACCAATGATCCAAAAGCTCCTGCCCCAATAGCCCTTTCTGCCCAGTTCCAGGGCCCTTACCTCTGTGCAGAAGGGAGTAAGCTGTGGGTGGACTACAGGCTGGACATACATGTGAAAGGTAGACTCAATCTCCATGGTCCGGCCATTTAGCTTCAGGATGGGGAACTCGATGATTTCCTGGAATAGCAAAAACAAAGAAGAGAAAAAAATAAGTTTTTTATTGTTTATTTTAGTTTTTTTAAATCAACCATTTCAAATAATAACTCTTGAGAGTTAAGAATGAGGGAGTGTTTTGAACTCATTACCTCTTGCCAGGCCAAACCCAGACTGAGTAAGATGGCGCTAACTCAGTCTTAGCCCCAACCTGCCCACTGTGAACATTCTCACAGGTTCCAGGGACGAGACACATGCCCCACCCCACGGCCTGGAAAGGAGACGTAAGACAGCAGTACACTCTGCCCCAGTTTCCCCAAGTGGCTGTCTACCACAGGCGGGCTCACTTGAGCCCCTAAAAGTCAGCCCTTCCCCAGCCCAGGTCCCTGCCCTGGGAAGGGGGGCCTGGATCTCCAACCATACAGACAACCTGCCATCAGACCAGGGCACAGCTTCCTGGATATGAAGTTTAAAGAGCTGAGTTTCTTCATTAGTGTTTACCCCCACCAAAAAAAAAAAAAAAACATAATAAATAAAGCCAAAGGGGATACTAAAGAGGAGAAAACTGAATAAGAGTAATAGGAGCTACTGCCTCCCACCTTTCTTTCAGGCAGTAAGCTCTCCCCGCTCCCACCAGCTCCCCCACCCCAAATCGCTTAACCAGCCCTTCCCAGTCCACTGGAACGTAATGGAAGAGAAGGAGGAGGAGTGACAATTTGTTTGGTGTCTCTAAGATTAATTTGTCTCCGTTATTTAATAGAGATGCACAGCACCAAGGTCCTGGTGTGCAAACAGGCTTGCAGAAGGCTGGCTGTGCAGCAAGCCTCACACAGCGCTCCCGGGAAGGGAGGGACGCACCGGAGGGGGGGGCGGGGGGAGAGGGCAGGGGAGAGCACACTTGCACCGGAGAGAAGAGGGGAAACGAGCAGAGAGAATAAAAAAAATTATTGCTTTTTAATATTCAAAAACAGTTTGCAAAATTTAATCAAAGCAGAGGAAAAGCTAACATTTTTACTACTTTGACATTTTTATTAGCGCTTTCATAAATTTTTAAAACATGAATGGAATTAGTTTACAACACACACACAAAAAACTGCCTGAAAACATCTGGAAGAGACAAATAGGAAATAATAAAAAAATAAATAAAAGCAAAATCCTCCAAGTAAAATTAGCATGTGGAAAAGGCCTCCACTGCGGAGCAAGAAAGAGAAAGAGAGAAGGGGGGCTCTGCCCAATCAACGGTCCCAGCAGTCAGTTCAGTCACAGCCCTGCCCCAGGCCCCCACTCTGGAGAGGACCTTTCCAGTATCACTAAAATCAAGGCAAACTGGTTCTCCCCGGGGACAGCCTGGAGAAGCAACAGGGAAGCTGTTCCGCACCTGACCACAAGCAAGAAACAGGCACGTGGAAAGGTGGGAGAAAGGGCCAACGTCCTGTTACCCCGGGGCAGCTAGGCATCCTTCCTCCTAAACACACCCACCATCAAACTTGTTGTTAAAGCATCTATTTTATCTGACAAATTACAGCAGGACCAAAGCTGAGGCGATCAGATTTCATGATGGAGAAATTCAAAGGTTCTGGTTGCCTGGTCTCCCCAGGGTGATCCCCAAGGATGGGGAAGCTGACAGGAGCCCCCCAAAATAGGAAGGGCAGAGAGGCTGCAAGGCTGGAGCCGAGGGGGAACAGAGAAGAGACCCAGGCTGCTATTCAGACTGGGTGACGCTTCTCTCAACATGTTCCCGGATTCCCTGGGCCTCTCATTGGCCATACACTACAAAACCGGCCAAGTGGAAGAGAGTGTTGTGCTGAAAACAAAATTAAGGCACACGCACACAAAACACACACTTGTCCCCCTTAAAATCAGATCTCCAAGAACTAACACTGAGGTGGGGCTCATCTGAGTCAGGCTTATCTGACTCCTTAATTTTGGATATATCCTTCCTCTCCCATTAAGCAAAAAAATCCCTAAAAAAAAAAACAACACAACAACAACAACAAACTTCCCAACAGAAAGAGCTCCAGAGCCTGGTGAGTTTGGCTGCCCTGGTGTCTTGGGAAACAAATACAGCCAGCTCCTCACTAACAATGTTAGCTGGGCCCACAATGAAATTTAACCTGTGACACAACTGTACTTTTCATTTAAACTTTCATTTCAAGAGAAGCAGTGTTTGGAGACCTGCAGTTTGTCCTGCTAATAAAGACAAGTGTTGGGACCTTTAAGGATGCCATTCATCTCTGGCTTTTATTAAATTCAATTTTCTTAAGCCCATGATACATTATGAAATTAGGAGTTGACATTCCTCTGGAAACAAAAATATCTATCAAACACAAATAGAAAAAACCCTCTATTACCAAGAATTTATGACTTAAAGTTGATCTCTTTCCACTTTTTTACAAGCACATGGTTTGTTTTAGATATCCGAAATGTTATTATGGATCTAGAATTTCATTAGTATTTATTGTAAAATAGTAAGCGCTTCAGCCCCTGCTCTGACCAGCACCGAGTCAGCGTCCCCAGTAGATTCTCTGGAAACTTGGCCGGTGGGTTTCCCCGCTGCAGCTCCACCTTCCAACTTTCCTGCTGCTGGCTTCTTCACCCCTGGGGAGATGGAGCCAACCCACACGCTCATATTCACTGTCCCCCTCCCAGAGAGGAGAGGAACAAACAAGCCTCAGCTCCATGAGAAACGAGGGGTAACTCGGAGAGGTTACCCAAAGTTATAGGTTGATCACATTAATTTTAAGAGCTTATGAAGACGTGGTTAGTGCCAGCTTCTAGGGGCAGTTGCTTTGATAATGAAACTTATTCCCACTCCTTCTCCTTTTCCCTCCTCCAGTTTCATCATTCCCTTAGAATAATAAAAGAAGTTTTAGTTTTTTGGGTTTTTTTTTTTTTTCAGGAATAGTTGAGTGTCTGCCTTTAAAAAGGTAGCACTATAAAGGAAAGAACCAGTTTATATTTACCAGCCCTCTTTGCTTCCTGTTAATATTGCCACAATTCCTTACACTTGTATGTCATTTGCATTCAATTAAACCACCTGTGTCCTACTGTGTGCAGGGCAGCGTACAGGTGCTGGAGTGGGATTTAGGGTTAAGATGTGGACTTGCTGGGGGGGATGTCCACAGACTGCTGAACAGAAAAGATACATGAACAAATAGTGAACAATGCACTATAACAAATATCTTAGTGGAGGAACATCCCAAGTGTTAGGCTTTTCAGTTTACAGTGTGCTTTGAAATATATTTTCTTATATTACCCTTTTTAATCCTGGAAGATAGGTCCTATTATCATCATCAACATCATCACAAGGTCACAGACCAATACTACTTACCAGGCAGGGGCTGCTGGGAGCGGAACAGATAAATACAAGGAGATGTGGCTCCTGTCTATGAGGTGCCCAGAGTCTCGGCAAGGGGTAGAGAGAGGCTGACCCCAACATCCTTGGGGACATGCGGAAAACAGAATCGTTTCATTCCTTCCATCTACTGTTTACTATGTGTCAGACACCCAGCTACATGCAATGATCTCACTGACTCCTCCTAACAACTGATGAGGTGGGAACCACTATCGTCCCCATTTTACAAATACACTAAGGCCCCAAAAGAAGCTGTCATTTGCACAAGGTTATACTGCTAGTAAGGAATGGAGCTGGAACTCCAAATGGGGAAAATAAGACTTAAAGAAAGTAGGATTAGCAGCTTTCAAAATATGAAGAGTCAAGAAAAATCTGATTCTTTTAGTCTGAAAGGCTGTCTTTGAGGAGCTCCTAGAAGAGCGACTGCTTCAAGTTACCAGGGCAATAAATGTAGACTATCCAGGCAGAAAGTCCTAGAGGATTGCCTCTGAGCAGACGCCACTATGGGTGCAGGGGCGCAGATGGCGCTGTGCTCCAAGCTCAGGGAGGGCAGGAACCAGGAGCCTTCAGTTTGCATCTCCAGCACCCAGTTCCATTCCGGCAGACAGACTTCACTCTCTCACTTCTGGTGAGTAAACGTAAGACAGGGATGATAAATGGCAAGACAGAAGCCAAGCACAGGCTCTACCAGATGACAGTCTGCTCTGGCAGAGCTCTCCATGGGACCACAGAGGTGAAGTGATCTCCCTGAGGTGGCAAAGATGGTAAGCCAGAATTCAAATCCAGACATGGAGCACTCCAAAGCCCTTTCTACCAGATCCCCTGCCTCTCACCTTTAAGTGGTTTCTCATCCTCCCTCAACTGCTAAAAACCACCAGTGGCCCAGTTTTCTGTTTGCACAGACCAAGGGTTTCCTGGAACACAGGACTTTTAGGGCTAAAAGTGGGACAGTTGGTCACCCTACACCATTCACGAGTTGTATGCACCACTAGGCTGTCCAAGAGTAGAGCACCATAAACCCAAAGGTTGACGGTGGTTGGGAATTGGCCACAACTTGATAACTAAGGACAAAGCCTTAGAATTTGGGTTTTTCAAAGTATCTATGTTTCTAAACTAATTGCACCTGCTGTCTCCCTCAATAAAAGGCTGGCTGCGAATCGTTTTTTTTTTAAGGGAAGAAAGACAGAAAGATAAAAAAGAAGCGCCGAGTAAATATTCTTTTACTTTTTTAAGTGACCAGAGTTTTAAGTTGGAACAAGGGTACTAAACACAGCCGCTTTCTAATTGCTCAACTAGGAACCCCAGAGATTTTCTTGATAAACTTAGGACAAAGCTGCAGCAACATTTCAAATGAAATTTCACACCCGCAATCAGTAGATTACAAGAAATAAATGTACAGGATGCTTACAGGGTATTCAAACTCCCTTCAACTGACGTATTTGCAGTGATAAGATTATATTTGAAGACAGAACAACAAAAGGATTTCAAGCAGGAAGGACTTAGGTTAGCCTTGGGATTCCTTGACAATGGGACAGAGGGTTTAATAGCATAGCAAACTACAGACCTTCTTCCCAAAGCACCAGATCCCCCTTTGCCTGAGCGGATGGCTCTATGGTCCTGTCTGAAATAAGGGACGAGCAGCTCATTTTTCATGGCTTTCCCCTCTCAA